TCTGAATTGTAGATAGATAAAGGCCAATTGGATTGTGAGCAGTATGAAACCAAGTTACCTTTCGCCTCTCTATGCACTTCTCAGTGCTAACTGTGAATATATACCTTGAGAATTTAGGTTCGATGCAGTTGTTGCTGTTGCTGTCCCGCAACATCGCCTATCTGTCCCTCAACTGCCCGATTAGCTTTTTACGACTTGTATGGCTCTTAAAATAGATTTATTTGGATATATGTGATTTGGGTCTTGAAACTTGAATTGCTTTTCCTTTCAAAAGATTACTTTGTCAGTTAATCAACGAGTTCCTTGACCAGGAATATTTTCTACAGAGAACGAAAGATGGAGTAAGAAGCAGAGACAGTTCGGAGTTTTCAATAGAAACGAGACACAAAATTGACAGAAAGTCAAAATTATAAATTTATCTAAATGTGACAAACTGTCCCTTGTTCTCGCCCTCTCTCTGTCTTCCTCGCTCTCTCCCTCTCTGTCTCTCCTCCACCGTGTATGCATCTGTGCTTTGGAGCACTATTAATTTTCCATATCAATATCAATCTAACATCATCTGACTCTCTCTCTCTCTCTCTCTCTCTGTCTCTTGCAGCAATGGGCCTATTGAGCGAGGGCAATCCACTCTCCTGGGAGGAGACCAAAAAACTCGTAGATCATGTTCGTGAGCACGGAATCAATCAGTTCATACATCTATATCACAGACTGAAGGATCGCCAGGGCGACATACTCAAATGGGGCGACGAAGTGGAATACATTATTGTCAAGTTCGACGATGAGCAGAAGGTGGCGCGCGTTTCACTGAAGGCCAAGGATCTGCTGGCGAAACTCAACGAAAAGGAGCTGGCGGATCCCAACGGCGTGAAGTCGCTGTGGCGGCCCGAATATGGCGCCTACATGATCGAAGGCACTCCGGGCAAGCCCTTTGGCGGCCTGATGGCACATTTCAACTTGGTGGAGGCCAACATGCGGTATCGCCGCGAGGAGGTCACCGAGCTGCTGGACAGCGATGAATGTGTGATGTCCATAACAAACTTTCCGCGTCTCGGTGCGCCAAACTTTACGTATCCGGTGTACCAGCCACGACCCGAAGATCCCCTGAGCTCGGCCCGTTCACTCTACTTTCCCGATGAAGCCATATTTCCGGGCCATCCACGATTCAAGACGCTCACGCGGAACATACGCATGCGGCGTGGCGAGAAGGTCTCCATCAAGCTGAAGGGTAAGCTCCATAGCCGCTCAGTCTATAGTCCGATTGCTAATGAGTTATGAAATCGCTTTCCAGTCTTCAAGGATGTAAACACACAGCTGCCCGTGGAGGGAGCGCCGCCTGGCGAGCCGGATGTTGTGCTCCTGGATGCCATGGGCTTCGGCATGGGCTGTTGCTGCCTCCAGCTAACGTTTCAGGCCTGCAACATAACCGAGGCGCGCCGCCTGTATGATCAACTGGCGCCGCTTTGTCCCATTATGTTGGCCCTGACCGCCGCGTCGCCGGTTTACCGCGGCTATCTAACCGAATCGGATTGCCGCTGGAATGTGATTAGCTCCTCGGTGGATTGCCGCACAGAGGAGGAGCGCGGCCTAAAGCCGCTTAAGGAAAACAAATTTCGTATCGCCAAATCGCGATACGACTCCATCGATTCGTATCTGTCGCCCGAGGGAGCGAAATACAACGATGTGAAGCTCACCTACGATGAGGCTGTGTACAAGCGCCTCATCGAGGGCGGCATCGATCATCTGTTGGCCCAGCATGTGGCCCATCTGTTCATTCGGGACACCGTATCGCTGTTCAGCGAGAAGGTCCATCAGAATGATGAGGAGGACACAGATCATTTCGAGAACATCCAGTCAACCAATTGGCAGACGATGCGCTTCAAGCCGCCGCCTCCGAACAGCTCGATTGGCTGGCGTGTCGAGTTTCGGCCCTGCGAGGCGCAAATCTCCGACTTTGAGAATGCGGCGATAGTGTGCTTTGTGGTGCTGTTGACCCGTGTCATCTTATCGTATCAGCTGAACTTCTTAACGCCCATCAGCAAGGTCGATGAGAATATGCAAACGGCCCAGAAGCGGGATGCGTGCCGCAAGGAGAAATTCTGGTTCCGCAAATCGTCCAAGTCGACGGAACAGCGCGCCGCCTGTGTCCAAATCAACGGCACCACGGCGAACACAAATGGCAGCAGCAATGCGACGGATTCGATGCCTCTATTCAACGGCACTGCCAAGCTGAATGGTCATGGAAACGGACTAAACGGCAATGCCGACAGCAGCAGCACCAACACGAATGGCACCCACATTCAGAATGGAAGCACCGACAGCGATCACACCGATACAGATGATGAGGAGACCGAGCTGTTCCAGCTGCTTACCATCAATGAGATCTTCAATGGCAAGGTAAGTGCTGGAGGGAAGCTCATCCCAATTGACGGCCGTTTATATAGAGAATCTACGGTCATCTAAATAGCCACAATCCAATTCCTTACAGCCCGGCGTATTCCCTGGCCTGGTGCCGCTAATACGGAGCTATCTGCAGTCGATGGAGGTGGACACAGACACGCACTGCACAATTGAACAGTATCTGCGCTTCATACAGAAGCGCGCCGCCGGCGAGCTGATCACCACGGCTACCTGGATACGTGAGCAGGTGCTCAGCCATCCGGACTACAAGTGAGTGGGGTATAGATATATGTATTGATATATACCTCTATATGTATATACCATAATATATATGTATATATACCTATGTATACACATATATATACATAGCTCATGTCTCTAATGATTCTTTGCGATTGGCTATTGCAGAAAGGATTCGATAGTCAGCGATCGTATTAACTACGATCTGCTCAAGAGCATACAGCGCATACAGGAGGGCAAGCATGTGGAGCCGGCGCTGCTTGGCCAGGGCAATCATTCCAAGACGAAAGATTTCATTCCGCCCGCACTTCAGAAGCAGCTGGCCAAGACGGGCTGCTGCGAGGACAAATGATCGCGTTGATTTGACTCGCCGAAATACACACACGCCGAAATATATACACAAACACACACCACAGACGAACAGATTCACACACACAACCAACAAAACAACTAAAACAACCCAAAAAGGAAAGCAAATCAGCCTCTCTAAACACTCTAAACACACACGTGATGCATATGCATACATAGATGTATACAGATACATATGCATATAGATAGATAGATATATGTATATGTGAGTGTGTATGATGCGCGGCAAAATGTTAGCCGAGACGCAGGCAGAAGCTCGAGCGAATCGGCTACACCGGACAGAAGCCAGCTGTGGACAACAGAATGCGCGACAGTGAGAGGAAGAGAGCCGCAAGCTTCGTGCTGCGTGCCACGAGCTTCGGGAGGCGTCGCACTTGGGTCTTTCGATGGGGAGCAACATTTATCAATATTAATATTTTTGTAGCATGATTCTTAATATTTAAACAGGCCGCAAATTCAAAACTGAAAGAGATAGAGGGAGAGAGAGGGGAAAAGAACGACAGAGTGAGATCTAGAAAACGATGGCTTATTTCTGACATAGAAAAGGCGAGTATGCTGCTCAACCAAAAACAACAACAGCAAAAATATATTGATTGAGCAGTGTGTTTGAGAAGCTAGGCTGTCGATTGGGCGTGTTGCGCTAGATATAAATCTATACAAATACACATATAAACAAAAAAAAAAAAAAAAAACAAAAAAAAAAAAGAACCTATTATAATAATACAATACTTTTTGGCTACTTCTTTATTCATTATTTTTTCTTATGTAAC